GTTCATCACATTCCCCCCTAACCCCAGTAATGGGGAGAGCAAAAACAAACAAAAAAAAGCAAGCGACAAGATTCAGCACTCAATAGGGTAACTTCGCTGCCCCCTCCACCCCCTTACTGCTGCTGCTGATGATGATAATGATGATGCTACGCAAGACACTAACAATGCTAGCACACACACACACACACAGTAACACACACATACAGAATCATACACACAGACTAACTAACAACCCCGCACACTATATATATATATATATATATATGTAGTCATACCCCCTCCCCCTATTCCACAGCCCTCATCACCCGAGACCCAAACCCACCCAGATCACGGAATAATTTTGCAGCCGACGTTTCTTGGGTAGACACGCGGCTTCTGGCCGGGATCGTCAACACCCTCCGACGTCCGTTGTCCGATGTCTGCCGGTGGCGCCACCTCTAGTTTGGAAATAAAGCTCTCGGTATAGCCAAACGAAATGATCGCTGGTTGGTTAACCAAATCGCCGCCATCGTCAGTGCGTGGTCGTTCGATAATGGCGTGGTTCATTCCGTACGTGATGCAGGCTTCCATGATGTCCTCACACTCCTCCTCTGTTGCCCCCGCTAAACGGATCATGCGCTGGTCGGTAGGGGTGTAGTTGATGTACATGTGCGGCTCACCGAAGGAAAGCTCCTGGATGGTGAAAGTGCAGAAGGGGTTCAGCAGCTGCAGTTCGGGCAGGTTATTGCGCCACCAGTTGCGCACGCCGAAGCAGTTAGGGTCTTTCGGGTTCAGCCAGACGGTGAGAGACGCCACACACGGCGTGAATCGCGCCCGCCACGACATGATCTCTTCTTTATGGCACCCACAAATACGAAAAGTAAGAGAACAAAGGAACAAGAGAAATGAGCCATACTGTAGGAGTATCAAACACGTATGACTGCGTTAGGAAGCACTAAGTTGGTCAATCAAGCACACAAACGCAATGTGATTGCAACCACATGTCGTCACAGTACGGCACGCCTTTTTTTTTGTTTTTTTGGGGGGGGAGAGGCTGCCGTGACAAGGGGAGTGCCAACGCTCATCTTTCCCTTTGAGCAGCACTACTCATTGTACATGTATCATACGGTGTAAGAACACACCTACACATTCACGCAGGTGTTCACTTCTTGTTGCGTGGCGACTTTCGCTTCACCTCGTCTACAGGTGTTTCAATCTCAACCGGCGACTGCGGACGCTTCACCTTTCTCTCATGGAGAAGTTCGGTCAACTGCCTCTGTATCTCCTCCAGCTCGGGGTCGCCGCTGTGCAGAATGACAAAGGAGCGCAGCGTGAGGGAGGCGCAGTAGAGCTCCGGTGGCTGTGTTGCGCTGTTCTGCAGTGCTGCCATCTCTTCATCGTCGGACGGCTCGTGCAACGAAAGAACTCGCAGAGCCTCACGCGCACCGCTCAGCGTCACTCGCGGGTTGTTGCCCAGGTTCACGCAGCGCAGGACTGTGTTGCCCGGCGCCCGCACGGCGTTCTCCATTCGGAAGCAGTCTCGATCAAACGGCGTCAGTGGACGTATTAGCACTGGCTCCGTCCGCTTCGCCTTTGTCTGGGTGTTCTTCTTCGGCTCCTTCTTTTCCTCTGTGACGGCAGGAAACTTGATTTGGTGCCACGCCGCATAGAGCTCCTGGTAGCTGGGGTACGCCGGCAGGGTTGACGCCGTTGCCAGCTGACGCTCGCGCGATGTTGCGTCACGGCGCGTGAGGTGCCGCTTGCGGTACGCCTGCAGCTTCTCCAACGGCACCTCCTGCATGCGGAAGCAGTCAACCAACTCAAGCAGTCCCACGTCCCCAATGTTGTTGTGGCCCAGATCCAACACCTGCATTGTGCGGTTCTTCTTGAGCATCCGTGCAAGCGCCACGGCACCCTCGTCAGTGATGCAGTTGCCCCACAGATTGAGGCTTACCAACTCGCTGCGTGGATGGCGTGTCAGCAGCGATGCCATCGCCGAAACGTCAGAGTCCGTTAAGCCGTTGCCACGCAGACTCAGATGCTTCACACCTGTAAGCAGCACAGCGGGCCATCCGCGTGGCACAACAATAGGGAACTCCTTGTCAATCTGCGCAATCTGATCTTGTTGTTGCTGCAGCTGTGTTTGCTTCTTGTTGTCAACCCGTCCCTTTCGCTCCTTCTCTTCGCGGAACTGCACTTCAAGCTGCGAGGGCACACTGTTAAGGCCACGGTATGCAGAGGGAGCAAATGTGGGCGTGTCAGCACCCGCCACCCTTCGCACCAGCAGAGACTCCTCTGCAGTCCGCGTGAAGCTGTCGCTCTGTGGCGCAACGGCCCCTGAGGACTCTCCTTTCTCAGCAGTGTCGTCGGATTGTGGATGGGTGGGCAAATTCAGCGGTGTTTTAATCTCCAAGGCGTCTACGGGTGTGGGTGATTGCGACACCACGGGTACTGTGGGGTCCTCGTAGAACCCGGGACGGGCAGTGCTGTTGAAGTCCACTGTCACAGAGACGACACGGCGGCTCTTATACAGCGCCTCTACTAACAGGAAATAGCTCTCCCGTGACAATCCACACCCGACCAACTCAACCGACACAAGTGAGATGCAGTGCGGTATCGCCAACGCCAGGGGCTTCATGTCACGTTCATTGAGGCAAAACCGAAGCTGGCGCATCGAAATGAAGGTAATCGTTGGTGGAGTTGCAGGGGCGACAGATTTTGCGGCATCATCCACTATCGTATTTTTCTTCTTGCCGCGCCCACTTCCGGTGGATGCGCTGCGCTTTGGTGGAGCAGCAGCAGCAGCTGGGGGAGACACTGGCTGTGGTGTTGGCGGATTTGGCGCTTCTGTATCCGCGGGCAGAAAAACGGAAGAATGCGGCCGTAGCGATGTGTGTTTAGCCTCCTTTTCCCGCCTGATCTCAGCGTTGGTGGCGATGGCGCTGAACACCTCCTCCCTCTCCGTGAGGCCGAGGGCGTGGCAGTACGCACCATAGTCGCAGCGAAGCTCCCCGGACGGCTCGAAGAGCATTTCCCCTCGTCCCGATTGGTGTCTGTCGCGGGAAAAAGAGAGGAAGCTATTGACTGTGCACAGGAGGGAAAAAAGCAACGGTGAGAAAAAAAAAGGAAGAACAGACATACACACACACACACACATGTATATATATATATATATATACATACAAGGAGTGAAAGAAAGACAGACAATGAAAAAAAAGGGCATACGCACTTGCCTTTCAGTTAAAGCACTGCAGTGACAGTTCAGCACACAAGTGTGCACACACAATACACCCCATTGGCATGGTTCCATCGTAAGTATGACTCGCTCTCGCTTTCGCTTTCTTCCTTGCCCCTCTTTTTTGTTTCGTTGTTTTGTGTACACATTCTCTGGCAAAGACGTTCTTTTTACATCTCATTGAATTGGTATACGGGAGAGAAACTGCGGGGTGTGGAGAACATAACTAGCACTACATCATTGGTTTTCCGTGTGGTCGTGCGCAATGCAAGACTACATTGGAATCGTCTAATTGAATATACGAAAGGGGTGGGGGTAAAGAAGAGTATCAGCGTGATTTACAACTCCGCCACGTGGTCAGGATCCTCGCCTCCGCTGCATGACGGCTCCGGGTCCTTCGTTTCTTCCTCCTTCGCCCCCTCCTCCTTCTCTCGCTGTTGTCGCTCTTTATCCGCCTGTTGCAGTTGCTCCCGCAGCGCCCGCACCTTCCGGCGTGCGAGGAGCCCCCGCACAAACTTCTGCGCGGCGATGATACAATACAGGAACTCCTCGGCTTCCCAGTCGTCATCCTCCTCTTCCTCCCCCTCTTCCTCCGCCTGCATCATCTCGTAAAACTCGAGATTGACCCACGGTTCTGCCTGGTCGGTTGCATCCGCGGCGATGGCCGCCATCGCAGCAGTGATCTCTTCGTCCTGCGCTTGGATGGACTTCCAGTGCTCCTGCTTCGCGTCACGTTGCTGCTTCGCCAGCTGTCGCGCCTTGTATGTGCGGTACGCACGCTGTACCCGCATTGCCGCATCGTCGAGTGCTGTCTCCAGCGCAATGTCCACCTCTCTTTGCTGCTTCGCCTGCGACTTCCGCCGCGTCAGTTCCTGCTTGGCGCAGCACAGACGCAAAAAGACAGTAACCTTTTCAGCGGCTCCTCCAGAGCGCAGTCGCTCCTCCACCGCTTTCTTGCGGTTCTGTAGTGCAATCTTCGCCGTCATCACTCGCCAGAACTTTGCAATCTTGCAAGCCGCTTGATTCAACAGAGCATCTGCTGCTTCTTCCTGCTGCAGGGAGGCGTCAGCGACACGTCTAAGAGCCGCCCGCTCCTGTTTAGCCCGCACAATATGCAAGAAGCCACGTAGTGTCGAAAGGGCCTCCATCCGCCGGGTTTCCTGAAGGCAAGCAAGCACCGCCTGCTGACGAGCGGCGACCTCCCTCTTTGCCAAAACGACGCGCGCAAATCTGCAGAGCACCACGGCGTGGTCGTGTAAGCTGGGGGGAGCCGAGAGAAACGTCTGGAGTGGGGGCAGCACACGTGCCGCACGATGGGTCGTAAGCTTCCTGCTCTCTCGAGCGCGCAGGAATGCCTGGACAGCAGTGACGCAACGTACCCCACGCGCCTTCTCCACACCTTCTTGGTGCATTTCAGAAAATTTCTGCAGCAGCTCGCGGTCGAGAGCAGGTGGCTCTTCCAAGTCCATCTCCACCCTGTACTCGATATACTCCGTGGTGAGTCTCCGCAGCACCTGGGAATACTGTCTGTCAAGATAACCCCGGGCCACACGCGTGATGTTCAGTGCGGCTCTGTCCTTTTCAATCGCCGCATTCATTGTGCGCCGCAGCTGCAGCTCGCGCAAACTTGCGGACGAGCGGGGTGGCCTGTTCTCCGGCGTCTGCATCTCCAACTCGCGCCGGCGTCGCTCGAGGGGCAAGCGCGGGATAAGAGCCTGCAACTCTTCCTTCTTCTCTGCCGCAGCAATCTGCCGCAGTCGGTACTCGTTCGCCTTGGCGCGCAGGGCATCACGGGCCAGGCGCAGACGCTTCTCCTCCGCCATGCTTTCTTGCCGCTTCTTACGCTCCACCGCCAGCGCCGCCTCCAGGGCACCGATCGGCTCGGGTTCTTCTGGTAGGACCTGCTGCTGATCCAACTCTTCGGTCTTGAGCGGCTTCTGATCCGTTGGAGGCAGTGTGCGCTGCACGGTTGGGACTTCCTCGCTGGAGGACACAGTCACTAACGCCTGCGCCTCAAGCTGATTATCGGCTTCCTCCTCCTCCTCCACAACTTCACGCAAGCGTTTTAGCTCTTGACTTTCATCATTGATTGCGATAGCATTCTCCAGAGCACTCAAACGTCGTGACTCATCGCGTTCTTCCTCTGCGTCCTCTAGTTCATAGAGTCTTTCTAGCTCTTCGAGTTCGTCATTGATTGCAACGGCGTTTCTGAGAACAGTTAAGCGTCGTGTCTCTGCTCTGACCTCGTCGTTGTCCTCACATGGCTCCGGTGTTTCTTTCTCCTCTGTACTCTCTGCCGGAAATGCCTCAGTTTCTTTATGTTGGCTGAAGGATTGTTGCTCCTCAATCGTCTCCTCGTGAAGCTCCACAGGCACAGACAGTCGCTCTTCTTCCTGGTCATCCATTTTGGAGGGAGATCTCGCGAGAGATTCCACGCGCGGCGCTTCTCGCTCTGCCTCTACGTGCTCACCCTCAGGTTCACGCAGCCGCTTTTGGCGTTCCTCCTCCAGCATTTTTGAAACTGATCTGCAAATGGCGCTTGATGGACGTTTGTCAGATATCTCTTCGTCCGTCTCAGACTCCTCCACATCCTGCTCTTGCACAACTTCTCTCTCTGTTGATGGAGTATGTACTGCGTGGTGCACATCACCAGGGGGCATGGGACACAGCATAGGACGTGTGTCCCTTTCGTCTTGCGTCATACGGAAGTGCTGTTGTTCTGTTGCTTCTACGGCAGGACATAATTCCCCTTCCGCCATGACAGGCACCTGGATGCCCTCATCAGTCGGTGCCGCTTCCTGGGCACGGTCTGCCATCTCTAGGGCCTCTTGGCGCCTATGGTATTCAAGTGCCTCCATCGCCATTTCACGCAGAACATTGCCAAGATCACGACGGACACAGAAGCCGCGGCCGATGCGCTGTACATTAGCCACAAGGACACTGCACCGCGCTTCATACAGTGCCTTACGGCGTTCTTCTCGCAGCCGTTTCAGTAGTCGCTTAGCGTAGTGGTACCGATACGCCCGCTGTATCTTGGACGCCGCCTGGTATTCAGTACATTTCTCACGAATCCTTCGTGCCGCATTCACGCGAGCAGTCGTCAAGAGCGGCTCCGCTGCCCTCCTCACGATGATCATTCGTCCAAATGACTGGAGTTTCGTAGCGGCGTCCATCTTCCGTTGGTGCTCCCGAAGACGTGCCTCGCGTATCGCTTGTGCCTCTTTCAACCTCTGGAGCTCTGCACGCGCCTTGAGCCAGCGCCACCATGTCTGAATATTGCAAGCCGCCGACAATCGCCGGGCCTCCTCTTGCTTTCGCCGAAATTTCTTAGCCCGCATCCTTTCCTCGCGCGTCTGTCGCTCCGCTTTTCGTGTTCTCCAATGACTCTGTATCAGCGTGGCAGCAAGTTCACGACGTTCCCTTTCGGCCGCAGCTGCCTTGGCTTCCTCATGGCGCCTCTTGAGGTCAATCAACTTCCTCTTGGCCAGGATCTTCCGCCACCATAGCTGCACTGCGACAGCCGCACAGCCGGAGTTCTGCACGTAGTATTTTCGTCGTTTGAAAAGGCGTTGTGCGAGCCAACGCCGCGCCCCACTTTGGATGCGGATTGCTGCCTGATGCCGTTCGCTTGCAAGTATCTCACGGTTCTTGTTCCGCCGATGGGTATCCCACCTCCCGCCTAGAGACCTCCGAATCCACCTCTGCACCTTGCGGGCCGCAATTGATTCTCTCAATTCACTCAGCGCATGATCCCGTCCTCGTCCCTCCCGCATCTCCTTGCCAAGCTTGCGAGATTCATACATGCGGAAAGCGCGTTGAATGATAGATGCACTCGCGTTCTTGCGCTCCAGTTCCGCCTCGTCAACCACCAATAGGTCCAGACGGTCTGACATGTATGAAATAAGGTTTGCGCCCTGTGCATTCGCCCTAGATCGTGTCTGCCGGCGCG